TGTCGTCGGAAGCGCGCTCTAGTGTGGGCCAACGGGTCTCGTGTCCCAGCAGCAGAATGCTGCCTCCAGCGGTGGCATCTTATTCAAGAACTGCAGCCTTTGTTCCCTTTTGGCCACTCCACTAGTGGCCCATGCGAGCAACCATCGTGCCTCAGCCATCGTGTCTTCATAGTGTCATTTGGTGCGCTTTGACTCTGGTCAGGCATGACCTCAACATGATCGCGGTCTCGCGTGCGCGTAACGCCTTTACATTCTCGCGTGGTCTCCACCGTTGAAGGTCGCGCGACATGGTCCATTCTGCATGCATCGGACTGGTCTGTTGCTTCCTCTGTTCTCGTGCCCTCATGACGGCTCGAGTATGGACTCGCGTGCTTGGGCCGTTCTAACAGGTTTGTGGCATGTTTCATGCGTTTCCATCCATTAGTGTGAGAGCTTACCAGAAACAACACTGGAGCCTAGGAAAGGAAGCAATTGTGGTCAGTCAACTTTTGAGCCACTAGGAATTTGGGTTTAGCTAATTGGCTTCTAACTGTACTAGAATACACAGATTTATCATGGCAGGAGGGTCGAGTACCCATTTAAGGATTTATGCGCTGATCCCAGATGTTATGAAGGATGCTTTTGTACTTACCCCGGGATTGTTGACGGCCATTTCCGGGCAGCAAGTTGATGACAAGAGGCCACAGGCTGTCTGGCTTGACGCAGGAATGGCATGTGGAGCTGTGAGCGATGTTGTATTCTCTCCCTCATCATGTAATATTGCGAGCTGTCCATTCGGTTTGAAGTCTCTGAGCAAAGTCTATCGTTACTGTGAAACCTTTCGTCTGACGAATATGCATGTACCTGCAAATCCGTCCTCACTGATTTTTTTCCTGAGATATGCTGCCTACAGCGAGACACAACTGGAGCAAAAAATTTCCTCCCCCTTTTAATAGAGATTACTTGTTAAACACCATTACAGATGCTGTCTATTGCTTACTTTTTGGATGTGGTCCTTGCCTCTAGAGTGGTGCATGAAACACTCCCAACGTCTCTCTGCTTACACCTACTTCCACTACCCACTGTTTCGTCCATTCCGCATGTTCCAACCTTTGAAAGCGAACGCGTTGTTTGGAAAAATATAGTTACTTTATTGGATAAATGTTCGACGCTTGTTCTTCAGACGTGAGTAAATGTGCAAAGAACAAAAAGAATTTTAAAAGTGTTGAAAAAACCATATTCGTCTGATACGAGCGCTAATTAGCGCCTGCAGTTTACGCCAGTCTGTATAGATCGCTCCTCGTCTCTTTCATCTTTCTTTGAGACTTCTGTATACGGCAAAAATGCCGGTTGATGCGGGGCTCATCAGAGAAATTCTCGGCCTTTTTGGAGAAATAAACTCCAACGATGGGCGTTTTTCCAAAGAACGTATTTGTTTTCACATTAAATCTTCTCTTGGTATGCCTGCCTTCCAGTTCAGGTTTCAATGTGTATACTTTACTTACTTGTGCTCACAGAGCCCCAGCGACATGTGTGCGTTGCTCTGAAGCAGGTAGAGCGTCTCCTCGTGGGCCTTCGGGAACAGGGCGCCGACTGTTTGTCATTAAC